TTCTAGTATCTCGATTTTAATTTTATCTTGAAATGTTTTACCAGTATCAATAGTACCGTGTTTTTCTCTATTTATACATATATTTTCTCACCTGAAATCCCAATACTCTTTGTCAAGGACAGACAAAGACACATGTTCACGCGAATACAAGGAACCACGCGCATTACCAAGCCACACGTCATATCCCGCATCCGACAAAACGTATGCTAAAGGATCAAAGATAATTACAACATAACAGAAAACAAATAATTAATAAAAGCAACAAAAATCAGAATGCAAATAATAAAATAAAAATATTTATCAATTTTTGAACTCTTTGTAAATTAAAATATAATTGTCAACTTATGATTTACACGTGATTCAGAGACAGAGATATTAAACTACTTAATCTAAAAAAAAAAATGTACTTAAAAAAATAATTTAATATTTTACCATCAAAGTATAATATCTTTACCTAAACCTTTCTCGGGCCCAGCAACGACCCAACCTGCCGAACTACACAAAAGGCCGTGCATAACAAACGCAACAGGCTTTTGCACTTCCGAATTACTCGAATTTGCTCGTCCTGTTAATCGATGTAATTCCAAAATATAACCATCAGATGTGGTTACTTTGTGTAGCTGACCGTTGTAGCCGTATTTGTTCACTAATTCCAGCTAATTAATAAAACGATAGTTTCTTAATTTAAATTGTACAATTAAGGGATTCTTAAGAACTTGATAAAAAGATTGTATTATGTAGCGATTTGAGGCTAATATTTTAAAGAAACGATAAAATTTACAAAATTTTTATGCTTTTGCCAATGTTTCATTATGTGATACATACATTCTTAATGATAAAATAAATATAAATCACTCAAGAAATCGTTTCAAGCGCGATAAAAATTATATCTATCTCTGTACTATTCACGCACACAGACTTTCTTTCTTTCAAATTTATTTTTGACAAAATTGAAAGATGTACTTACAGTGGTAAGATCCGCGTCTGGGTGGACTAGGGGAGATTGCGGATCTATGAATTCGTTGATTGCTGCTGATATCCGGTGATCTATCGACGAGATATCCGTTTGATCAAACACTGGAAGACTCGGCATCGTTCTAACGAACGCCAGAATCGAGAAAAGAAAGGTTGGCAGTAGCATCGTTGTCATTTGATGAGATTGCAGTTGCGTGGATTGTTGGGATCGAAATAAATTGTGCGATTTTGCGCGTGGTGTTATATATTACATATGTATAAAGACGCCACTAAATATATCGTCAGTTTGTTTGCTGCTTTATACGATCTTATATCAAATGCCATCGTCATAATCTGTCATAATTTTTTTGGTTTGATAATGCGATTAACGTATTGTAATTGAGATATCAGAGATTTGTGAACCTTATCGCACGCGCGAAGCGCAGGTGCACCGGTTTGTTTGTTCCTACGAAATGATAAAGTATTTTATATACATATATTTTGCGTGCAAATGCATAATCGCATTGCGGATTTATCTGTTGTGTGATTTTTTGACGAGATTACTCTGAAAAAAAAAAAAAAAAGATTAATTAAAATTGATTATCATTTAAAAAGTATGTACATTATAAAATAGGTAGTTAAATCTTGTAATCCGTGACTTAACAATTTTTGTTATAAAAAATTTAATATAAATTTTTGAGAGGTTTGACATTTTATTTTGTATTATCGATTCATCAATTGGGGACAATGAAAATATAATTTAATAAAATTACCTCAGAAAAGACAAAGTTTGTATTGCAGTTATCAGAGTTTACGATTCCTTTATTATATGATGTTGGTATTATACAATGTGGAATAAGCTTTTTTCCATTATAGACAAAGCCAGCATAGTGTGGCTGTCCTTTTTAAGTTATACTGTTATCTGCATCACGACAACCCATGTCAGATAAAGATTATTATAATACAAATAAGAGAGAGAGAGAGAGAGAGAGAGAGAGAGAGAGAGGATATAATATATCTTATTCTCTAATATTAACTGTATCTTTTATTATATATCCTTATGTCGTTTATAATTCTACGTTTTATTGTTTATTTTTTTTATTCATATCTTGTATGAAAGCGATTAATTTACTGCATTAAAGCTTTATTAAATGTTCATGTAATTTGTTTTTTTTTAGATAAGAAGATTTGTTCAATAAATGGTAAAGATGCTTCACAATTAGTGTCATGAAGTAAAATAAAAAATCGATCATGAGAAGCAAGGTAATTTATATTTTATTTCTTATATATTACTTTTTATTATTTTATTTTTTTATTATATTTTTTTAATAAATATAAATAAATATGAGAGGTATACGTACGTCAAATATTTTCAAATAAATTTGTGCAATAATATGCAAAGTAAACTATAAATGTTTTGTGCGAAAATCTGTGGAGCGCTAAGAGTTATATTATTGATCGATCTTTTATTATAAATCGCTTATAATAGAAGGATCTTAATTTTTATAAATTAAAAAAATTTATTCTTTATTTATTATTGAAATATATTATAAGCAAAATAACTTGTGCAGGGAGAAAACAATTATACAGGAGAAAAAACTTTGCGAGAAAGGATAAATAAGATGATAAGATGAGAGAATGCGGGTAATATTTATCCAGATAAATGCGATGTAATGAAGATAGAGTCAATAAATTTTAAACAGATACAATATTTCATATATTTCATATCAATAAATTTAAAGTAGATAAAATATCTTATGACACGATGACACGAGAAAGATAAACACATGCAACACAATTAATTCTATGAGAATTAACAAGAAATTGTTAACTCAAGTCAATAATTGCATCGAATTAATTCCAAGATATAAAATAGCTCCGCCAACGAGAAAGATAAAAGTCCCCGATTAAATTTCATGGATTAATTACAGAAATTGAAAGAACGAACGCTGGTACTTTTTTTTATTTGAACTCTTCCATTAAACTTATTATCGGGTCATACACAAGTGGCTTCGCGTCGATGGCCCACATATAATCTAGATGGTTGAATTTCTTATCATGCACTAGAAATAGACTATAAGGATTGCCCAACTCGCTATACAGTTTTTTCACATCCTGCGGGAGAATTATGATGTAAGTATAGAGAATGCAAACATTCGAGCAATTAAAATATTATGAATGATAGTTCATATAACTCGAGCATCTTAAATATTTTTAGGATATTTATTGTGTTAGAGAATATAATATACGAGAGTTTATATGGAGTATATATATAAAAATGTATTATATATTAATATTTTGTGTGCCAGCTTTTCTCTGCTCATAAATACATCTATTTCTCTTGTAAAAATAAATATCCTGACAGATATTAAAAGAGAGAATGCTCAAAACAAACCACTGCGTATAAAACAATTACAAACCTTGACGTTCGCTAACCAGTCGTTTTTACTGTAAAAGAGTGAGACTGGTATTTTGATCTTCTTTACATCATATATTGGTGGAGTACGTGAGTTGTATAATTTTTTATTCTGCAATAATCCGTTATCGAATTGTTTAAATTTTCCCGGTGAAATAAGTAAACCTGGTGATAAACATGCTGTTGTTATTATGTATTTTAAAAAATGTTATGGAGATTTGAAAATAATGAATATTTTATTATCTGTGCTTATACAAGCATGGATGCTCACCAGATTGTATGAGTTGTCCATAGTGAATAAGTTGCTTTGTGGATGCACCAGCAGGAAGATGTCCTAAGATTACCGGTAAAAGACTCTGTAAAAATGACGATAAATATATACAGTTAACGATATGAATAATATATTATTAATCAATAATATTAAAAATAAGTACTTCATTAAAAAACTTATACATTTTAATTTATTTTTAAAATCATTGTTAGAAAAAAACAATATTATAGAGTATTATCTGATAATACTAATTAGTGTAGAGTACACTATAAAAAAAGAGACAGAACCAGCATATTAGTTTCCAAATTCTTATCGTACTTGAAATTGCAAATTAATACTGACGTAAAAAAACTGCATCATACCATGTCGAGCTGATCAGGATTAAATCCAGCAATTAGGAACATCATATTCGAGCATATTGGTTGCGAGAGAGCTTTTTCCGCGCACATTATTTGCTGAATTTTTTTTGTGAAGTCGTTGCTGGGGTTAAATTCGTGAATACCGATCAAGGACCACATTATCTGCAACGACGCGTTTAATCCGTAAGAAAGAAATATTGGACATTGATAATTGATTTTTTCATCTAAATCGGAATTGTACGTACGTCGATGGTATTAGAGAACTGTGCCAGCAATTGCATGAAAGGACTCTTCATCCTGCCGCAATAAGCGATCGGTGCCATGGCGAACATCGCCTTAATCTTGTCCTGGTACTCGGGCACCTCCGTCGCCATCACGAAAAAACTTGTGGTACCTTGGCTGTGCCCCAAGTAAAACAGTTTTTCTTGACCGGTAGTCTCTAGGACGTAGTCTATCATTGCTGGAAGATCGTATATACCAATTTCGTGCCAGCTGCAAAAGAAGTACACATAAATTATTCCTCGATGTTTACGTATTAGCTGTAAAAGTACGCGCGATATTATATATATATATATATATATACATCAATGTTTGATGAATATTGAAAGGCGTAACAATTTATAATAAAAAAAAAAAAAAAAAAATATATATATATCTATATTTTTCTGTGAATTTTAGTATGCAAGAATATTAAGAACTGCCGAAAAATTTTAAGAAAAAAAAATTTTGGTTTGTTCAAATATTTTATATTTTGATAATACAAATATTTCATAAATATTTGATCAAGAAAAGATATTAAAAATCGAATAATATTATTATCGATAAAATTTATTGCATCCATAAATATTCCGTTGTACTATGTATGGATTCTTATCAATTTTTATACATTTTTTTCATTGTTTTATTGATGAAGTTTTTATTGAGATATTAATTTTGACATAATCCATTCATCGTGTGTCTTAAGTTGTAATCAGATGGAAGGAAAATGATCGATTGAGATTAAGTGATTAAATCATTTTTTACAAGATAACACACAGATTACCAATAAGACAGTGTTTTTTATAGATATAGATATAGATTTCGAGATAAACTATCGGCTTTCTATGTATTTGTCAATGAAACACGCGATCGTGGATTTGTTATTTGTAGCGAAATATTGATTACGTATTCATTAGCACTAACAATAAGAGACCTTAAAATGAATCACAAAATAAGAAAATTTATATTTCCAAGCGTATAATAAAGGCGGATAATAAGATAAATTGTATCACTTATTTTCTCTCTTGATTCTTACATCCAATCATTAACTGGAAAACTATCATTTGGGAGAAATTAATTTCATCATTGACCAAAGAATCTGTAGCGAAAAGGATGTTCGTGCAGTTTTAAGACACTCTAAAAAGGATCTTTGAAATATCATGATTCACCGCGTTTTATTCACGATCATCTGAAATTTATCTAGATTTATTTAATATTATCATGTAATAATTACGATGAATATTTCTTACAATTATATCATTGTGACGTTACCAGAGACTTGTATAATAAATCGTAATTATTCGTTTACATTTAGATTAACAAAATGAACAATAAACATCACTTGCCTCGTTCTTAAACTTGAGCTTCCCTTATCTGACGCTAATACAGCATGTAACATACGTGTAAAAATATTAATATTTTTTCGTGTTGAAACTTTCACATTATTTCGCGTGCATCAACTTAGAATTTACCTTCAAATATACCAATAATGTAACAGTTTCACATTTTTTTCGACAAAGTTTGCTCTATTTACACATATATAATCAGTTCTCACCTGAAACTCCAATAATTTTTCTTTTTGATAGACGAATTCGAATGTTCATGGGAATACAAGGTGCCACGCGCGTTTCCAAGCCATACGTCATATCCCTCATCAGAAAGAATAAATCCTAAAACATCAAAGACATTTAAAATATAATAATAATAAAGACAAATTAGAATTGATGGAGCAAAAAATTAATAAAAATTTTGTCAAGCCAGTTTTTTAAAATTTATTTTGAAAAGAATATAAAAACGAATTCGCAGTCGGAATGCAAGAATTGTCTGCGATTAGTCAAAGGGATTGAAATATTTTAACAGCATATTTTATAAATAATGTAATATTTAGATAATTATCTAAAATATGGAAATAAGTTTTGTCAACTTATGATTTGCGCGCGATCAGAGTCTCAGATATTAATATTTTATAGAGTGTTCTTTTTTTACCTAAACTTTTCTCGGGCTTGGCAAAGACCCAAATCGATGAACTTGCCAGAATGCCATGCATCACAAAAGCAACAGGTTTTTGCTTTTGTGAATCGCTGGAATTAGCTCGTCCTGTTATTCGATGTAATTCTAAAATATAACCATCAGAAGTAGTCACTGTATGCTGTTCGCCATTGTAACCGTACTTCTTTATCAGTTCCATCTGCACGATAAAATAATAGCTTTCTAATTCAAATCGTATAACTGACAGATTAACAATAAGAGATAAGAGAATCGTTATCATAGCGATTAAATGTTTTTGACATTAAACTGATCTTATTAATATACAAGTCCCACTAATATGATCAATAAAATCTAAGTAAATAAAAAAGAAAAAATTTAAAATTTAAAATTTTATATTTATATGGAGTCGATCACGCAACATATTTCTTTTCTCTTAAAATCGATGAAGAAAAAATAATAAAGTATCAGTATTTTTATTAACGAGCAAAAAAGAGGAATTATGCAGAGTCATTAGAAGTTTCAATTAATGTAAGCCACATTTTTGCACAAAATTTTTTAAAAATTTGTTTAAAGCACAAACTTGTGACGGATGAAAAAATCGAAAGCACTCACGGTCGTAAGTTGCGCATCCTCAGGCCCGGATGTAAAAGTGCCTAGATCTGGGAGTGCTGGTATCAGATCTAAGGGATCCAGCACAATTTTCGGTATTTTTAATAAGTTATCTATTATTACCGCGTTCGTGGATGCCAGGAGCACAAAAAAGAAGATCGGCAGCAACATAATTGCCTTTTGATGCAATCGTCGTTGTGGATAGATGGGATTCAGACGAATCGCCGAAGAATTTTCTTAAATCTAACTTTTTCTTAAATTTAACACGGCATATATATATGTATGATCGCTTTTACTACAAATATCGTCGGAATCGGTCTGCTGTTTTTGTACAATCTTATTGAACGTCATCTGCTAATTTATCATAACTTTTGTCTCAATAATTGGAAATCAAACGTATTAAGTCCTAATTGATATCGTGAAAAAACAAAGATTTCTCGACCTTATCATTATTCACATGGATCGGCTTTCTTCACGGGTTATATATGAATTTTTCTCTACAAAAATATTATTGATTAATATAAAAACCTGTAAAAAGAAGTTTAATTTTAAAGCTTTGTATGCGTAATATTTGTGGATATTTAATCAAAGAAAGATATATTTAAGGTCACGGCATGGCATCAATGATATGTGTTGACAAAAAAAGATACTAAATGTTTTAATCGTGCGAAAGTTTATTGCATCTGTATAAATATGCCGCAATATATGTTACGGATATATGTGTATATATGTGTATATACTGTTTGTATCGATTTTTGTCAAATTTTCTAAATATATTATGTATGCGACTTTTATGCAATGCAATCTATTCGTAAAATTGTAACACTTTAATCGGCTACCACCTCTCGGACAAAAACACTTTCGCCGGCATATTTGTATCTTTCGTAAGATCGCTCATGACATATCTACGGAAGCTAATGTGTTTTTTATTTAGATATTACAAAGATATATATATCAAATAATCCCAACGAATATAACATGATAAGACACACCTAAATAAATATAAGATAAATGTGCTGTAAATGATAAGAGACTGCACGAGAGCGAACACGAGCGAGCGAGTTGTGACGCTGGTCAATAATCAAAGAACGAAAACGAACTCACGTGACAATGATTGTCAAAGTATTAAGATATTACTTCCAATATTATCTAGTTTCACGCCGTTATTTTAGATTTTTAATTGAAGAAATATGATTGACTTAAAAGCCTGCAATTGAATTTTCTTTTTTAGATAGTAAAAATTCTCATTACATTTTCAAAATACATATCACTCAACTTTTTTCACGAATCACTGAAATTCATTGTCAGTTATAGAGTGCTTATCTTTTAATAATAAAATTATTTAATGAGATATATTTATACTATGTTATTATCATAGCATATGATTATTGCGGCAGAAAAATTATTGGTGATGCAAGAATTGGCAAAACAGCTAATTTGATCTGGAAAAATCACATTGCATTTGATTGCGTCCGATATCCGATATATATGTATAAATACGTAATAAAATGCTAATATATATTATTGTATAATAATAAAAATAACTGTGTGTGTGTACATAATGTAGTGTAACAGCGAAAGTGATTGCGTTCGACATCCGATATATGTATATAATGGAATATATATCCATATGTAATTATATATATTTATATTTGATTATATACATGAATTTTTTTCTTACATTATGAATTATCAATAAAATAGAATTTCTTTGCAGATTTTCATCATGTACCTTCGTATTTAAGCTTCAAAATAGATATAGATCTCTGAAGCGTATAAGCCATTTTTCCCTCTTCCCCCTCTTTTTTTCTCTTGAAAGAGAAAAAGATATCAGTTTTATATTTATAAATGTTTATTAATGAAGCACGTTCCACACGTGTGCATCTGATATTCGCAGTGAGAGGGATTATGTATTCATTAGCATATGAAGAGTTCTTAAAATGAAAAGTACCACGAAAAAAAAATATATGATAAAAAAGATGATATAATTTGTAAGCCTTTTTTTAAAACGTGTATTGAAGAACTTGGAGATAATTTTATCTCGACGAAGGTAATTAAATGTATTATTTTTCTAATGTGACACACACATATACACACAAATTTCGCATTAAAATTTAAACAATATGTATTAGAGATAATTAAATCCTACCGTATTAATAAATCCAACCAAATTTGTTATTATTAAGAATATGATTTCGCAAATTTTTTCGGTTCAAGAGGAATACAAGGGGATACAATTTAAAAGAATTAGAAAAGGAATAGAGCGTAAAGAAAAATTCGATAATATTAGCGCAATTTGTATATATCAAAGAATGTTCAAAATATCTCGAGATTTGCCACGTTATCCATAATCATCTAATCTTTTAGTTATCCACTAGAATTAAATAAAGCTACTGGCACCGCAAAATTGTGTAACAATTTCAAGAATGTTGTCAATGTTTCTAACTTTATCTTTAAAAACATGTGTTATATATTTTATTATCTACTTTCAGATAAGAGATTACGCAGTAGCTGATATTTCTTAATCCTTCTAAACCTGTATTGAATGATCGTGATTTCTCGTCAACATGATAATGCCACACACATGGCAATTTTAATATTCAAAATTACACTTCCCACGATACGATACTTAGGTACGATTTGCCTAAATCGAAAGTATAAGGCTTAATGACTGTTATAATAAATTGTAATTAGATACCCAGGAAAAATATTGTCCATATATAAATATAGGAATAAGTATATATAATTATATGTATATATAAATATAAATGTTTTCTCTCTTTCTCTCCGTTTATATATAGGAAAAATAATTTAAAAAATAATAAAAAATAATCAGAAAAATTATATTTGCATTGTTTTTAAAAAAAAGTAAAGTTTATACATGATTAGATTATACAATATTTTATATATAATGTATATTTAACTATAATTATATGCGGGTAATTTTTTCTTGAGTATGTCTTGTAATTTAATTGCAAACTTGATGATTGATCGTAAAACAGATACATGATAATTACGCGAATTAAGTACTGCGTTTAAATCGATACAAGTGATATCGTTACACGATTCTTACAATTTCGTAAATATATGCATAATGTATTTCATACATAAAAAAGCTTAAAATATTTTAGATAAAAGAAGTATTTAACAACGCATATGTACATAATGTGAAATCTGCAATTATATATACTAATAATACAATCTATGTAGCATATTATTTCTTGTACGACAATTATAATTATTTTATTTCGGTTTCTATTATTTATACAGCATCTTCTAGATTCTTTTGTACTCTTTGCCACTTTGCTACCATAGTCGACATCTCCTTGTGCTTTTTGCTGATACTGATTCTCGCCTAGAATCATGTAAAACGTACAATTTTCGATTAGTCCACATACATATATATATATATATATAACTGACATTAAAATATATATATATATAAAACTGACATTAAAATATATATATATTAATGTCAGTTTGTTAGCCATATTAATACAAGAGAATGTTATATCTCAAAAAATATTTAAAAAATTCTGAATTGAGAATAAATAGAAAGTAATAGGTAAAGAGATTTATTTCATTACAAACTAAAAGAGATAATTCTTAGTTCCAAAAATTACTGTATTTAATTTAACGTAAAATGAAGAATTAAAATTTGTTAATTATAATTTAATAACTTTTATATTTTATATACTTTTGTTATGTTCTGATATATAACAGTATATCATACTGTTCTTATATCAAAAAAGAAAATAAAGTGTCGAAAGAAATAACAAGTATCGCGATATGTAAATAGAGACCTTTTTCTTTTTCCGTTCTTTCATCGTTGTATCACTCGATATCGTTTCCGATTCCGTTTCCGGTTTAGTTTCCTCGATTGGAACAGGGACCTGTTCCGTTACAATGGCAACGGGATCCTGTTGCTGCACTGTTCGTTCCGTTTCCGTTTTCTCGATGCGCGCGATGTCGTTATAAAAGGAATCAAGAGCGGATCCCAGAGATTCCTTCGAGGCTTTAACCGGCGGTTTGGCGATGATTTTATTATTCGTGTAAATCGGCGTGTATCCCACCATAAACTGAATAGCATTCTGCCCGCCATGCTTGTTCGCAACTGCGATCGTCTGTTAACAAATACAGATATGTAAATTACAATTTCCATAAAAAATGTATTCTAAATTCTAAAATACACCTATTTTATGGGAACGTGAATTCCTTATATTTATTATACGTTCGTTATATGTACGTGCGAGAGTGCTACCGCATTCCTTGATACTTCAATATCTTCTATATACTTTAATTAAGTATAATTGTGCATCAAGGAATAAATATATGTGGTATTCATTTATTAATACGGAATTTATTGGTATAGCAGAAATGCACTTACATTATGCAAATGTTGATGAAAGGCTGGATAATGAACAAAAGGCTCTTGAAGCAGGCCTGCCTGATGGTGACTTAGAATAGGTATTGTTGGATCCCCAATCGAAGGCGCGTAAATCGCATTACTTTGCTGTGACGCTGTGTTATATATTATCCCTTTCAAGGTAGCCGTCTCATAGGACGTTTCCGGCAGATCCACACCCGGTGGCAAAGGCTCCATATTCGCGTGATTCGAAGGTATCGTGGTTTGAGGTGACATGGCCGCCTGTGGATGTGCGTAAGACAAGGATTCTAATGCAGGATTTACCATCTGCGCCGTATTTAGAGTTGTTATATTGTCTGTGAAAAAACACAAGTTTTTTTTACTAATATTTATAGTAATTATGATTATAACAATTATCTTTATAATATAATGTTATAAAGATATATAATATATTACACACGCACACACAATCACTACTAATCACTACTAGCCATTTAACTTTCTATCAATTATATTATAATATTATAATAATCAATTACCTCTCTCCAAACGTTTTCTCTTCGCGTCCAAGGATTTATCGTCGGGTTTCTCCTTTTTCCTCTTGTCCTTCTTCAGGTCTTCCGCGAATATTCTTGGTGGCGGCGGTGGACTCGGATTAGATATTTGTGGTGGAGGTGGTGCTTCCAGATCCGTAGGACGTCTTTCCGTTACATTTTCGTTATTCGTCTTATTATCGTCCATCTCCTCAGCTTGCTTCTCCTTCGTCCTTTTCGTTCCAGGTGATTCTAGTGTAAAAACAATAAAAAGTTAGTTATATTATAGATGTAGCTTAATTTATAGTTTTTCTATTGATGACATTCTTCCGATTCTGGTGGCGGAGTTGTGCACAATTCCATCTCCTCAGTGCCACCGGCAATACCGGTGTCAGGATAAGTCCACTGTGATGTTCCACTGGATGTATTGTGGTAGTAATATCTCTTGTGCGACCTGAAAAATCCCCCGACCAAAAGGGAGAACACATGAGACAACATTACTGACGTTTGTACCATATTTTCTGTTGTAATTTTCTATGTTACATTTAATGCACGCTTAAATAATGTTTCCGTGGCGAAACATTCGGTCGCGTCCGTCACCAGTTTCTTAAACGAAAGCAAAAATTAATAGAACATAATCTAGTAATCACTCCTACCTGCGATGTTGTGTCTCGTTTTTACTCGACGAAGGCCTTTCGTTACAGGAAAGATGGGAGATGTATAATTATGTAATTATCAGAATGTATTCTCTCTTGTGGGAAATATTAATGCGAGATTACAGCAAAGTGAAAGGAAAGAGAGGTATTTGTGACTGAAGTGCAGGGAAAATAATGATGAAAATATTAAGTCCCAATATAATATCTGGTTTATTTGTGATTAATCCCAAGGATTACCAGATATTAATAAAATATAATGATAGATAGGATAATACTTACATTGTTAATCATCGTTCATGTCTCTATCAGAATAGATAAACGAACGAAATTATAATGCCAGATAAAATATTTCTCGCATACACTTTGAAACATATGTTTATAAGAATAAAATATATTTTTTCTTTTTATATCTTCCACATTTTATTAAAAAATGAAATATATATCCAGCGCAGAGATAAATGTATACCTAATAAAACTTTACAATATTTCTTCATTTCAATAAATAGCACAAAATTAATTTATATATATAAACATGAAACTTTCTAAAATAATTTTTTTGACACTTTTTTGATAAGATGTAATTAAATTTTCTTGTTTTAAATAATAATATCACTGTAGAAAACGATGATCAAATAATTTTGTTATAGTTACTTTTATAGTCATTCTTCAAAGCTAATCCATCAAAGCTTTCTCTTTCTCTCTCTCTTTTGCTACATTTCATTTATATGTTATCATGTTAAGCATAAATAATTAACTAAGGCCTGTCTCAATCAAAAAAATTATTATTTCACTTTTCTCATGGTATCTTCTTGTCTTCATTTGAATAAAATTTACTTCAACTTCACACTTATTTCATAATTATAGCACAAATGTGTTTTTAATCCAAGTGACGTTCTTGTTATTGGATTATCGCTTGCAGCAAATTACATTAAATAGATTGCAATATATCACTCAGCACGTATTAATTATCACATTGACAATATCACAAGATCAAAAACTTCTTAAGGCTAAATAAGAGATGATCACTTGATTTAGCACTAGAAATATATTACACTTCAAGAGAGATCATAATTCTTACAGAACTCTGCACCTTCATTTAAGCTAAGCTTTATGAAATGATAAAAGTGTATCAATTGCATTATATAATGTTCTAAAATTTAAAAAAGATATCTGTGTATATTAAAACCACTATATATATTCTGTATAATCGCGATAATCAATTATTTATCACAAATATTATCGAATTAGTAATTTGATAAATTTTATTTTGATTTGATTTGTGGGAAGAGTTGTATCAAAGAAACAAATTTGAAAATATCATATTCGAGTGTACATTAAGTCTTGAAATATTAGGAACTTATTTAGTGTGTGTCCTACAAATTTTCGTAGATATAATGCTACTGAATACTTTTTTAGAATTAGTGTACCTACTCCTAGATTTGTTAATTAACTAATTTGCATTTATAAATTTGCTAAAAATGAATAAATATTTCCAATGATGGATGAAATAATGTAATAGTACATAGCAATATTGCATGTATGTATGAAGAAATAAATAAATAAATAAATATGTGTTTGTGTATCTCTTCATTGCATAAATTAATGATACACATATAAAGCCATTGAACATAAATGTCGTGTATATTAAATACCTATATTTACATAGAAAACTAGTAGTGCAAATTGTGTATGGAATACCGTACCTATCCCACTGACATAGCCAACCAGCTGGTGCTGCATCTTGCTCTAATCTTTCCAATTCATGATTTGTATTAGTCAGCCACTTTTGAAAGTAACTTTCTTCTAAGCTATTTGCCGCCCATGCAGTAGATAATGTCTGTAACAGAATAATTTATATTAATAAGTTTCATATTGATAATTGTGCCAAATTTATCCAAATAATAATGCTAGATTATATGATTAATTTTAATATTTAAACATTACTAATTCCAAACACATTTTAGCTATATAATATAATAATATTCATATATATATAAAATCTTGAAAAAAATATTCACTTGTAGTTGAATTTGCATTGTTTGAACAGCGGAGACGCTCTCTCTTCCTTCGGAAAGAAATTTTAATTTCTCTGTTATAATCTGCGACAAGTCATTCATCTCTTTCTTATCATTATCTTTTTCTTCAACTGCATTGGGTGCTGTTTTATCTTCTGCAAGTACTTCCGAATCACACGATTCGTCTTTAGAATCGAGCTTTTCTTCGGTCTTAACACTAACACATTGTTCTGCCTCTTCATGTGCTTCATTGCATTCTTCTTGACTTTCTGTGCATGATTGATTATGAATTCCCGCATCGTCGTTTTCGGTATTACGTGAAATAGTTTCATTGCTCGCGAGATCACTATTATTATCATTTTGAATCGTAGTGTCATGATAAACGTTATTTTGTTTAACTTTCGTTGATGGAACTAAAATTATGAAAGAAATTATTTAATTAAACATAAAGATATTATTTCTATATTGCAAAAATTTGTCATATAATTTAAATTAATGCAAAGCTTTTTATCATATTATTGATGTAATAAACAGATGAAAATAATTGATACCATCAAATGCTATTCGTTTCTTCCTTTGGAAAGCTTTGCCACATGTCTGCATATCTTCAAGAAATATATTCGTCTTAGATTTATCTTCATCCATCTTCGATTCTTTTTCCTGCGTTTTTTCATCATCATTCTTCATTTCTTGACTATCTCCGTTGTTGTCATTACACTGATCACTACTTTGTATATTGCTAGAATTTTTTGCAGAAACACCATAAATTTTTGATGAATTTATCACATCTACATATTCCTCATCTTGCGCAATCGGGAACAAAGGTTTAATCTCCTGCTTGGGTTTAACTTCCTCTTCTCCATCTGAATCATCTCCATAACCAGGTACTAAGGACACTTTAAAATCCAACTTCGGAATTACGTTTTGTGTATTAACATCTTTTCTATTCTTGTTTCCAATGAAAAACTGTTTTTCCCCTTGAACTATACTATTCTTACTACTAGATTCAGCTATTTTACATTTCTCGGATTGTTCGGATTGATTCGTACAATTTGATATGTTAGTCGAGTCAGATTGATACGAATGAGACAAATTTTTGATAGGAGACATTCCCATTGGATGGAAGGCGGGTCCGATTTCACCGGCTTTTAGATATGATACAGAATTTGAATTTCCTGATTCAGATAAAGTTGTCGACGTCTTTTTCTCGTCTGAGGAATTATTTTCATCCTCCGAATCGCTTCCGTCGCTACCAAAAGATGTTATCATCTCTATCCGTCTAAATAAAAGAGAGAAATATATTTTTTGTCAAAAAAGTATAATTTTAGTTTAAATATTAATAGTTTTATTCATTTGCCATACCCATCATCAGAATCATCATCCTTCACAGGAGACTCATTCTTAATTTCTGATTTGCTTTCCGAGTTACATTTTTTAGGAGGTTCATTATGCATAAATCTGTTGCGATTTCTTGCTACCACTTCTTGTGGTATCATGCCCTCTGGTATATTTGCTTGTGACTGTCGATCTGTAATAATTGTTCATCTCAATAATGTTTTCCATTATTAAACATTAAACGTAAAATCTATAGTTTAAAGAATGGCAATTACATGCGATGGATGAAAAATCTACCCAATGAGGTCCCTGGATTGGATGTTTAACTCCAGATCCCATCTCAGATTGCTTTTTTATTAAACGTAACTCCTCTGGCATGTCCCATGTTACCTCATTAGTCTCAATGTGCCAATAATAAGGATAACCAGTAGAATCATCGTAGCACTCTTGCCACACTAGTAAGTATACATAATTCTAAACATTTCAAATATTTTTAATTTTTTTCTGTTATTTCTATTTAAAATTCTTACATGTTTGCTGATTCGTATGATGCACAGACTGCGAAGCTGGCTTAGTTGCTAAGCTTGGATCATTAACAGTGTTTGGAACATGTTGTTCTGGGGCAATAAGTTGAATTTCCTACAAGAAATGTGAATTAAATATCTATAATACAGAGCATATCATCAATTAACTACCTTAAAAAAATCGTTGACTTGATCGTCTAATTTTTGTGTATCTTTCTTAGGATCTTCTGTGTCACTGTCGGAATTGTACTGGCACAAATTGGCCAATGGATTGCTGGCCTCATTTTGTATAGGTTGTATGTTATTCACTGGCTTGCACTTATCTGTATATAATTTATAAGAATAAGCAAGAGCAAGATAACACATATGTATTAAATCTCTTTTAATATATATATATATGTATGAATTTTTAAAAAATAACAAATAATGGAAATGAAAGAATAAATAACAGTGATTAGCATATCTAATAATTTAAAATGTAGATTGATATATTTACTTTGCGTGTGGTCGACATAATTGCCTTGAGATCTATTGAGCGTCAAGACCGGCCTCCTCTGACGTCTCTTCATAATAAAAGAATAGCAGAGCTATTCGCTAAATTCAGAAAATCTTGAAATCAATTCGCAAAGCGGAACGTGCTCTTCGTCAACTTCGACCTTTGCTCGCACATACGTTTCTACGTAAAAGAATACACGTGCGCATGTCATTTACGTGAATTAATTAAATAATTATGCATTTTCGTATCGTGACGAAGTAATTATCATACGAGGTTTTTAAGTTTGTTGAATCGTAATCTAACCAAAAATATCCTATCCATTTGTTTAACTCCGATAGTACATCTTCACTGTATGAAATTGGCGTTCTTCGAAATTCATCCTAATGATACAGTGTTGCCAACACTTGCATCTCTAAAAACCGCCCTAAAATTTTTAGCATTTTCGAATAAACGGGTTTTAACTTTTAACCCAACCTAGGGTATCGATCCATATAACTTTTTCCCTAGGGCGGAAAAGTCAAAAGTGAAAAATTTTGCCATTAGTTTCAATGCTAATATTTTTCACTTTTCACGTTTCCGCCCTAAGGAAAAACTTACATGATCGGTACCCTGATCAATTAATAACTATTTTACTATGAATTCAAGTCTTTTATTGGTAGAGACAATGCAATGACGTCATTAATCTCTCTCAGAGCGCGATTAATACATTCGAAAATGCCATTTGTCTTGTCAAATCTAAAACATAAAAGAAGCAAGTTTAAATTTTTAAAAAAGCAATCGCATATCTGCTTAAATAGTATTGTTAATTTTAATGCTAAATAACATAATTAAGTATCTGATAAAAATATAGAGAGATAAAATTATATATAATTGAAACCTTTATATTTTTAAAGATATTTATTCATGATTTTATGCACACACATATATAGAGTATTAAACTTTTTTTAAAATTAAAAAAAGAAAATGATTAATAAAACAATATTGTAGCATACAATAGCAACTAGCAACACTGCCGCACAATTTCCCAATCCCAACTCCCAACTCTCAAGTCGGGCGCACGTGGTATATTCTGCAAGTGCAAATAAAAATACTGAGATCTCAAATATTATTTTAACACGCAGAAAGGGCATACAGAATCCGTGACGATTCTATTGTACATATTAGTCGTCAATATTAATATATGATCTTCGGATGCATATTTTATTGTGTCGATAATGCGCGATATTTGTTATTAACAATGATAGATCAAGATAGTCAAACCGAGGATACCGTGACGCTGCTTCTCCAAAAGGAGCGATTTAAGATTGATAAAAAAAAACTGATCCATAAGAGCCAATATTTTGCCGCACTTCTCTCTACAACTTATACAGATCATCGTTTGTCGGAACATATTATCAACTATGAGATTCCCTCAATTTCCTTCCAGGTTAGTTAACTACAATTTTTAGCCGCGTTTAAAAAGAACAAAATTTGTTATATTTAATGTGACTATAATGCGTGTGGTGTATGCGTTATATTGATACAATAAATTACTTCATTGTATAATTGAAATGAAAGACAATGACTTCGATTTTACAGGATTTTATAAATTGGATTAACAATGATGAACATGATGTTATGAGAAAGATATTTAATAAACACAATCTTGGACGTCTTTTGATATTATTGGAGTTAAGTGTTCTCTTCGTAGTAGATGACTTAATAGAAAATATAACACTTAGACTCGAGAAATATTATTTGTTACCGATAGATGTAATTGATATTTGGTTGCTGGCACAGGAATTAGGCCTTAGTATATTACAAGATCTTTGTTTGGCTGTTTGCTTAGATCGTTTTACTGAACTGCCATTAAATTTGATCTATAAGCTATCAAGGCAAAATTTTTTGAAATTAGTTGGAAATATTAATCTAAGAGTTGCAAAAATATATAATGCAGAATCTTATTTGCCCCAAATTGCGCAAGAATGGATGAAAATTAATAAGGTGAATATTATCTCTATATATAACAACAATCTTAAAATTAGAACAGTGTAATTTTTTGAGGGAGTAAATTGAAAAAGATCTAAATTTTATTTTTTCTTCGAAAGCGTAAAACAAGATTGATTTCAAATTTCAAGATATTGATCTTTGATACCTATTTTGTTTTCTTGGCATATACATGTACATATATCAGTATACTCTATTATATGTATATTAACATATTATAATTTAATGTATAATAGATTTAAAGTATTAATTTTTATAAAAGGACACAATTCCGTTGGATATTTTAAAAAAGACTGGACCAATAGTTTATCCAAGTATTATATCCTGTGATAATTCTGATTCTTCTGATGTTAATAATGAATTTTATCTTCATTGTTGGAATGATGATAAGCTCATTGAACTTGCTACATTTAAATATCCCAAAGATATTATCAATAACAATACGAATAGTAGAATAATAGGAATGCAGATTACTGCCAGAGGTACGCAATTTCTGTGATCTTCCTTTTTTTTTTTATTTTTTTTTTTTTTATATTTACTTACTGTTTTACACGTGATCTCTTAGGACATAATTTATATCTTAGCGGCGGAGAATTTGGTATCGGTTCAGGAAGGTTCAATATGAACATATGGCGTTACTCTCTGATATCTAAGAAATGGTTTTTCGAGACAAGGTAAGTATTTTAATAAGTAGATAAGATGATAGAAATTAATCATATAAAGTAGCATTCTCTGCAAATCCAAGTCCTGTTAATATTTTAGTATGCCACATGCGAGAAGACATATGGTTGCTGCATTTGTGCGGAATACATTATTGCTTGCAGGTGGTGTAGGACATTATCGACGAAAACTAGGATCTCTTGATATCTATAATGTCCATAAAGGTAATTTTAATTAGGTAGCATAGAAAATCATTATAATGCAAATGCTTCTTTTAATGTGATATGCAATGTTCAATGCATAAATATCCCCAAAATGTTCCCAAATTGTATATATCTCAATCAAGTTTCAGAGATACAAACTATATCGTAGGAGTATTCTTATTACATAATTGTTTGCACGATTTATTCTTGCTCGAAATTACTTATTAATATCGAAAACATATACTGTGATAACATTTATTTTGTTTTATTACTACTTACTTATATTGTTTTTTGCTCTCTTCCATTTCAACAATTCATAGGCATATGGATTAAGGGTTCGACCATGCCCGTGGAATTCGTCACTCCCCCTGATTATTTTGTTGTTGAAAACAAATTGATCTTATATTTTAATCAGTCTAAGCTAAGATCATTACCTTTGATGTATGTATATAACATCGAGTGGAATTCATGGTACATAGTATCAATAAAATGTCAACAGCAACATGTACGTGAACTACATGTGACTACGCCAATAATGAAGTTTAATGCTGCTTCATGTTACATTGGTGAATATTACAGTTTATACGTGATATGTATGTGTAAATAAGCTTAAAATTCACTCATTGCTATATTTTATAGATGTTAACAAGCCAGACAGAATCAATCTAAAAACTATTGTAGTGATATGCAACAATTTAGAACATAATCGCAAACAATTTGATGAAGTAACTGCTGACCTTTGCGGAACTAATGATGACAATGAATATAATATGTACTTTTGCTTTACACTGTTACAAAATGATTTATATCAGAACAATATGCTGATATGTACGAAAGATTTGCGTTTTGCACTAATATGTTTGGCAGAAAGAGAACATTTACAGTGGCATAGTATACCTATACAGAACCCAAACAAGTTCCGTTCTCTTACTTCGGAGTCACGTTCAGACTTTTTTCATTTGATGGATCCAGCTAATTTACATGTTAAGTCGGCGGTGAAATTGGATTATACAACTTGACATATATAATTCTTTGTGAGTTAAACGCTCGATGATTGAACATAGAAATATGAATAGATATAAAGATCCAAGTAAAATCCAAGAAAAATGCAGTGAAAAAATTGCAGAAATATTGCAGATTAAAAGATCTTTACACTCTCTATGTACTCTTTGAAAAAATCAACTTGGCTTTATTTTTATCTATAACAATGTCCTCTACTTTCACGAATTGTCAAAAAACATTGTAAATATATTGCATAACATTTGTTGTGTCAGAAATGATTTTTTTATATAAATTTTGCATAGAGTATGAATGAACATTTTTTATTGACTTTTATATGAATTTTTATATTAAAGTTTTTATCAACGCTAATTGTTTTGTTTATTACTAAATTATATATCGGAAAAATACATCTTATCTCTTTTTCTCATTGACACCCAACGATTACACAAGTGTAATTACTAATTTGAGGACGATTGTGGAATTTTAATAGGACTTACATTTATAATCTATATTAGTATGATACAACGGTGTAATAATAAGATTTCATTTTAAATCACATGTTTTATTTTATCGTAAATTTTTTTTGAGACGGAAAGCAGTCTTCAAACAAGTATAACACGACCATTAACGTGGAATAAGAAGGCACATCGCGATAGTATATCACGTAAAAATAAATACTTGCCGTTCTTGCGATGCCACGAGAATTCCCGATGAGATTAATAATAATGTTGGCGGTTTTTCGAGGATGCTGGCAGTCTCGTCGGGAAAACCGCGTTTTGAATATCATGTCGAATATCCTACAAATTTTCGATTCTATTTCATTTTTTTTCGATTGTGCCGCGATGTACCCGTTAAGTATTAAGTATATACCAAGTCGTGTGATACAGCAAAGCCGAATATTTTAGCGTAATAAGTTGCGTGTGCTATCCGTAATGCGAAGATGCGGGGACGCGGAAATTATTCGGATGCTCGTCTTGTAAAAATAAACCGCGTCCCGCTGATTCGAGCGATTCACACATGCGACATTTTATGACAAAACACACAGGAAGAGAATACAGCGTTCCAAAATAATTTACATACAGAATATACGCGCGCACGAAAGAGAGAGAGAGAGAATAATATTAATCTTTCGGTTCTCCTTTTCTTTTTTTTTGTACAGAGACGTCGTAGACTTAAAAGCGGTCATCGCGACGAGCCGTTTCGGTTTTCTTCATTCGTGTATTCTCTCGTTAAGCTTCGTGCAAAAGTTGAAAGGCCAGTGGAAAGCCAGTGAAAAGGATCAACCGGAGATGGTTCGACGTCTACGAATCGAATGCATACGAAAACGGAGAAGATATATTCTTTTTGGAGAAAACGTATTTGTGTAGATTAGATGCTTCCCCCCCCCCCAA